GTAATAATATAATAATAATTATTATATGATAAATTTATAATATAATTGCATATAATTATATACTATATAACAAGTTTTGATTTTAGAATACTACTTTAAACATCCTCCGCGATATTTCGAGCATATATTAAAGCATTTTTCATTTTTGTGTTTAATTTGTATTAAATTTATGTTTCTGCGTTTTCCGTTTCTAAATGCTTACATTTTCGAATCAAGATAGACATTTTAGCAAATAGATTTAAACATTTGAATTTTTTAAAAATTACCATCATTTGAGGATATCACGTTAAACTGTAAGGACTCGCATATGTACTTTTATATAGGCAAGTGCGTAATAGCCGTTAGGTCGCCATAGCGACAGCAGTAAACACACCCTGGGATATATAAAGACAGGGCAGTAACCACCTTCGGCATGATCGACACGGCGCCGATAGACTAATTAATTGAAGCTCGCAAACAGTCTTCTTCATACAATGACGTAATGAATGCCTCTTTATCTTCCCTAGACACTCTAGCTATTTCGGAAAGAGCTCATCGTATTTTAGGCATTTAATAATTGCGACCATTTTTACGATTCGAGATAACAGCAATGTTAATCCTCATGATAGTATTTATTGATGGCCAATTTGTAGGACGTGTCAATAAATTTATTAGCATTGAAATATATATCATATACATACATTAATTTTTCATAAACTTAAAATATTAATTTATTAATAATGATAATTCTATATTAATATTTAAGCAATAAAAAAAATCTGTTGTTACAAAACATGAATCTAAAAATATATTTGTGCAACTATAACTAGATATTAATGATTACGTTATAGTGAAGATACCCTCATATATCTTAGGTCATTGACACTATTACGTGCTAAAAAACAAACATGCAGTAATTGCCGGTAAAATATACTGGCATTAATCGTTAACATGCCGTCATGACACATCATGCAACAACGAACAATACACGTCAATACTTAATAGGTAATGTAATATGATTAGTAAGCATGCTTTTTAGTTTTTTATTCTTTCAATATTTTATAAATTCAGACAATAAGAGAAAAAAATAATTACAGCTATTATGATATTTATTTATATTGCATTTCTATAAGACCATATATGTCATTTGTGCCGTAGTTTATAAACTTCAACAAGTTTCATTGAAGTAGTTTCATTGAAGAAATAATTTATATAGATACAAATCCGTTGCAAAAATTGCACGTCCCTGTGTATTTCCTTTTATTCATCATTAATGTTGTAATATGCCTGAAATGCATAGATAATATCACCAATTTCAACATTGTTAAAATAATTAGAAATTGTTGTATGTAGAAAATAACACAAACTCGTACAGAAATTCATACAAAGATAACCTATCATTATAGTTTACAAATCGAAGTATAATCTATTGTATCATTATTATCTACTTAGGATATATTTCTAAATTATGTAAACATAAAATCATGTTTTGAAAAGTCTATTAATCCAAGTCTTAAATCTATGATTAGAGTAAAGTAAATATTTTTTATATTTCATTATTGTAATTTTATATTTCTTTTATATATAATTTATATAAATCACTTTACGTTATTACACGTTATCTGATATTTGAATTAATTTTATATCATCATTATAGAGTATTCTTGAAACATGAGATCTTATAATTTTTCGTAGTAGTTCTTTATGCATGAATAAGAATTTTATGTATATATTATCTCGCTCTTTTTTTTAGAATAATTCAAATGTTTTTTGTTTTTAATAATTTATACATATGTAAAGTATGTATAATATAGTAATAAGTATGTAATAAAATACATTGTAATTTATTTTAATTGCTATACATATATTCTAAAATATTTTCTACATTCGTACTAATTCTTAATTTACGTATATTTTTTCACCGGATTTTTTAATTATATTAATTATCATTAAAATGCCAAACTAATAACATTTCTCATCTAAAATCAATTCTGGAATTAAAAAATTCTATCTATTTTGTAACTTTACTATAAAGATCTAAAAATTCTAATAACTTTATGTTTAATTCTTTCAGTCATAATAGAAAAATGTTCATTTAAAAATGACAAATACATAATTATTTTATTCCAATTTTTTTAAATAAAAATTACAGTTTTGTTTAATATAACATTTAATTTTAATGTGAGATATTAACGCGCGGTGTCACTTATAACAGGCATATATCCTCATTTATTCAATTATTATCATAAGCTGACTCAACAAAGTAATGTTGAAATGTACTCACAGGAATAATTTAAAAATACGTTCTATTTCTTTAAAAAAAAACATAAAACTAATAATTTATTTAGATGGTGTCGTAATTGAACTAAATTTATATTTACGTATAATGTAAAATAAAATAATAAAATTTTAAATAATTATATCAAAATTTTAAAAATGTTGAAAATGTTACAATATTTTAAATATTGTAAAAAAAGAATTTGTATAAATAAATATAAATTTATTAGAATAGTGGACAAGAATCAGCTGATTAAATAAAATCTCGGTTATTATATTAAACTTTACATTAATTTTTATTTAAATCTAAATATTTAAATCATTGCTTACACCATTATGATTATATAGCATTTGTCTATTTAAAGTCTATAATTTGCTTAATTATTGCACTAAAGAATAAAAATTCTGCATTCTTTATAAATTCTCAAAACTTTTATCTGTGTTCATCAGTTCTTACATTAAATTCAAAGTATTAACCCTTCGTTGACATACGTGAGTGTGAGCCACCCACAAAATTATTTTAACTCTGAAACTCAATTTTCTTTTATTTTGTAGAACAAAAATATAATGTTTACAAAAAAAATCTTTGTTTTTTCAATTTTCAAAATAGCCTACATTCAATATGCAAAATAAATTTATCCAAAACCACATTACAAACTAATTTTTTTTAAGTATCATATCTGAACAACAATTCTGTAAATTTTTAACTTTTAATATTAAATTTTTTAAAAGTTACATCTTTTTCAAAGATTTTACTTGTTTTTTCTCTATTCATCGAACTCAAGAATTTTTTCACAAAAACTGTAATGAAATCTCAATTAAAAACTATTTGAATGTATTCTACAGACCTTGAAATTGACTCATAATTTTTTTCATATTGATTGAATTTTTTAAATGAGAATGTTAGTTTAAACATTGCTCTGAGTGTGAGTCACCCAGTGTGTCAAAAAACGATAAAAGAAAAAGGAGTGTCAACGAAGAGTTAATAAAATTATTTTTTTAATTAATTTTTCTCTTTTTTTATATATATATAGGTATAGAAAGAAAAAAGAAAGTGTGTAATCAATTTTTTAAAAATACTCAGCTCTAGAAAACTTCAAATTTGCTAAAATTAATTTTGCTAATTGATGTAATTTTGCTAATTAATATTTAAAAAATCTATAAAGAAAACCCGACTGACACGCCCTACACACATGTGTACTTCCTTTCAATAGTATTTAGAAATGTTTACGATAATTAGATATATGTATAGTACATAAAAAATAACTTATTTATTTTTCTTTATTTTCTAACAATACAAAATGTTTCAAAAATAATATTCATTGGAATGAATGGAAAGCATTATAACGATTAGTATCGATACTTTCCCAGACAATAGAATAATGGAGTTGATTAAATATAATTGGTGCGTAATCGATCAAATAACGAATTAAATCGACTTCTATGTAAGAAAAACAATTGCAAACTTCGAAATTTTTTAAACGTATCATCAACAGGCGGATCTTCTTCAGTGAGAATATGAAAATGTTCGAGACGCTTTAAAATTAAATGACGCCACGTTTTTCGCAGAAACGATGCTAGGTGTGTCTACTCGGAGAAAAAAAAATCAAACAGTATCGACAGTTGTATCCGATTTCGACTTAGCGATAGTATCGATACTCTGTTAAACCGCATCATAACTTCTATGATAGCTATCACATAATTTCTTCCATATCGCATGGAAGAAATCCTAAAGCTGGCAACACCGCGCTTACCCCAACTACTGGCAGTCCTGCCCATAAACGCGCCGGTCTCGCGATTGTATAGAAAGGTCTTCATAGACTGGCTGACCGACATGCTCGGTGGTTTTTCATACGGATTCATCAGCTCCATCGCGGTAACCATCTTCGGATCTTTGGCCACCATCCCGTCCCACCTGTTACAAGAATGATTCACAAAACGCGCGCACCCGCCTGCGGTACCTCAAACACACCGAGTTCTTTCTCAAATTCGAAACACTCTGCACTCGAAAGTAACTTGCCGAGCGAGCGTTCGCGCGTCGGGATTCGCTTTTCTCTTTCCCTTTCTCCGCTGATTCGAAACGCTCGACAATTCCAACTCGCAGGTTACTCCGACTCGCAGGTTACGTCGCCAACAGTTCTTTCTTCGGCGCCACCAGGTTGACTAAACGCGCCCAAGCGCGCGACGACCTTCCTCCTTCTCTTTCGCTTCCTTCTCCCCTCCTATGCTTTTCAGACTGCCCCTCCTTGACCGCAGGTTCGGACCCAGTTCTCTGCGGGACCTAGGTGCTGCTAAAAACGTGTTTACTAAGATAACTCTCTTTAAAAAGAGAAAAAGGGATATTTTAAACAAATTCAATATTAATTGCAATTAAATTTTAATAGATAAATTTTTTTTGTAATTGTTAATAAAACGTGATATTATATTATTATAATTATAAATCACACTTAATGTGAGATACACGTGAGTTGTTATCTCATGTCACGTGAGATAACAATAAAAATTATAACAAGTTATGAGATCATATCTTATTTTTAAAAATTGTACTTTTTTACCGAATGTATTTCATGTGAATATTATCTGGTTTTCAAATAAAAAATTTTTCATGTTAGTTTAAAATTATATTTCATATTTGTTATTTTCATTTATTATTTCACACTTATTATTTTCACAAAACTTAAAACAGTGGCAATTCATGTCCTTAATTTGAGATAAAATTTAAGAGGTATTGTAAAATTGGACGAGGAGTTAAAATTTAGAACAGTCTTTCTTATTTGAAACGATTGGTCACTTTAGTGTACACAAATCGTTTTTTAAGAACTCAACAAAACTTTTATACACACATGCATCACTTAAAATTATTCTATTTTTAGATATAGTAGTTTAATGAACAGCAGAGAGCAAGTAGCAATAGAAACTGAGAAATCTAAACAAGTACTAGAAATTTAGAAATTATAATACATTACGGCATAAATAAAATACCTAAAATAAAATACAGCTTCTTCAATATAATTAAAATTATAATACATACAATTACTATCGCAATTCCCATATGCTGCATTTGATACTATATCATGTTTTTAAAAGATAAACGAAAACATTTAAAATAAATTTAAAATTATTCTTAAATTTATCATATTATGATTCAATTTTTAATAATTACATATTTAGAAATTTCAAAAATAATGATCTTGAACAAACCTTTTACAATAGATATTATTTATTACTATAAATTATTTCTTCAAGACATACAGCATTTCGAACAATATTTTTATACAAAACGAACTTATTAAAGGCTTTCAAAATTAAAAATTAATTAGAAATTGAATAAAAATAAGAGACGCAGAAATTATGCGCAAATTTTATATAAATTTTTTATAAATAAAAATTATATTTGACTTGCTTATATTTGACACATCGAACGTTTCTGTCTCTCTGGGCTAACGATTCTGGCTTTTACATTGCTGACAACTTTATAACGTTCGAATTTATTTTATCTTATAATTAATATATCAGATGTTGAAAAATTTTTCATTTTTTAATTATCTTACCTGCAGGTATTCTCTTGCTTGCAGGTTTTTTTTATATTATCACTGGCTTGGAGAATCATGTTGAAAGATTTTGAATTATGCAACTGAGCGGGAACTTTCATCTGTTATGCGAAAGTGTTACAATCTCTTTCTGTTTCAGATTAAGAATGTGCCCGAAACATTCGATGTATGAAATAAGTTCAATGTAATTTTTATTTATAAAAAGTTTATGTAAAATTTGCATACCAACTACTGTGTCGTATTTTCATGTACTTTGATTTCTGATTAATTTTCAATATTTTTTTAAAAATAGTAATAAAGTATAGATGTTTTCTAATCATCTATGCAATTATATAGATGAAATTTGATATTGGCTATGTTCCAAAATTCTGCCAGCGCTGAAAATCTATAGTTTACCTATACATTTTCAGCACTGGCAGTGAATTTTGAAACACAACATTAATTTATACATAACTTATTTAAAAAGTAATTTGTATATTTAGAGATAATAATGTTACGTATATGAGAGAGAGAGAGAGAGAGAGAGAGAGAGAGAGAGAGAGAGAAAGAGAGAGCATATTCTTTTTTCAAAATAATGAATTTCTCAACAATGATCTTTATCACTTTTAAATTATTCATGCTTATTAATCAATGTTTGAGGCATCCGTGTTCTAATCGCGTTTAAAAGCGACAATTGTCCGTTTTCCCACAAATCTCAAGCACATCTCCTGTGCGGATACACCATAACGTAACATGCTGTTCTTTTTATGACGTGGCAAATCGCAGCTGCAGGTGCGTACATGTTTTGTCAATGATGGTACATTGACATTGTACATAGTAATACACATGTATTGTAATCAGTGATGTATTTCTTTTTCGCAGGACCCTTGGTTTCCGTGCGCAAATAAAATGCACACTCAATGGTATTTCTATGCGCGCGTTGCATATTTATTACAAATTTTAAAAACAATGATTATATATATATATATATTTATATTATTATTAAAGTAAATTATTATAACACAAAAATATTTTATACTTACATTATGAAATTAAATAAACATCGATTAATATTAACTCTCAAGATATCACGAAAAAATTTTTTACTTGACTTTCCTTGATAAATCAAAGTTTTTTAGTATACTTTTAAAATTATGTGCAAGTAGTAGTGCTGGAATAATATTTGTCCCATGAGTACCTGATGAAAGTTTTAACGTCAATATTATAATTTCACTCAACAATGTAAATATAATATCTTAGACAGCATAAATTATCCAACAATATTGTAAAATTTTTCAGTAATATTGCAGTAACACTGCAAACGTTACAACAATGTTACTGCAAGTTTCTACATTGTACGAAATAACACATGTAACAGTTACATTGTTGAATATGAAATTATAATAATATTGATGTTATGTTGATGTGTACTGGATTACATGTAATGAAGGATGAAATAAAAAGTGATAAAGGATTACAGGAAAATATTATAGGATAATCAGGAAACTAAAATAATTATATAACTATTAATTTATAATAGGAAGACAAA